AGGCTTGTATTACAGTTGTATTACAGTGTATTGTCTGCTTTTACTTCTTAAAGGCAACAGACTATGTGAAAGTTTTAAAGCAGTCTTTTAGTGCCAGTTCAGAGCGGTCGCGTCTGTAACATTGTTTTTTCCTCATAAATGCGAACACGAAAACTAAAATAAATGAATATTTTAAGTTCTATGGAGACTGGAGAGCCAACCCTTCCTCATCCGATTTGCGCAGTGTAATTAACAGAATTACAAAAAATATATTTTGCCTCCTATTTTTTTTTGTCACGCATGAATGTGTGTCTTTTCCCTAATATTAAAAATAAAACATAGACTGATATTTGTCTAATGTCTGGAGTCCTTTAAGGAAGTAGCCTATATACGTTTCAATACATGTATTTTCTGAGAATTTTTATTTCAAGTTTTGACTGCAAATGTCATGTCCATAATGCTGGACTTCCCCAATTTTAAATAATTTATCCTCAACTAGATTTGTGGTGTAGGTCTACGTATTTTATAATGTTAACTTCAAATAATACTAATAGCCTAATTTAAAGATAAGGCAGCATTGGATATGGACGGTAAGGAGAATAATGCTGGGAGTTGGAAGAGGTGTGTCGCGATTCTGTTCGTGGATCTGAGTCGTGTGGCGAATCGCGATTTCGGTTTCATATTGCATATCGTTACAGCCCCAAAGTTGTTCTACTTAGTTATTTTGGTGAAAGTAACTCAAAAGTAATACATGAGTAATGTAACGCATTACAATTCTGAGACAGTAATATTGTAAGGTAATGAATTACTTTTAAATAACAGTAACAAGTAATACCTAATGTATTACAGTTTGGAAGTAACTTGCACAACACTGCTAAGCAACAATCTCATTGTGAAATCCTTCCAGAAACACATGGATGGACAGACAGAAACGGAAAGAGAGCTGCAATGAAAAGACAGATAAACAGACTGACTGGCAAGGAACATTCTCAACATACTAAGTAGATCTGACGAAAGAGAGAAAAGAAAAAGCAGAGATGCTGTTGACTTCCTGGAGCTGAAGTAAATGAGTTTCAGCAGCAGTTCTGAGGAACGCCGGCTTGAATAACACCTTCACTGGGAACACAGCGGCCCGGAGAGGTCGGAAAGTTTGAGCAGCGCTATACTGTACCTCTCCCCGCATTTTAGTTGTTTCAATGTGTTTTTGTAAGTTGATACAACTTGTAGTTTCTGAATTTACAAGTCCAGGTTACTTGAAATAAGTTGTTGGGTCAACTATTTTAATTATGTCTAATTAACTAAACTTTTTAAGTTGAAAATACTTAGTAGATTAAGTCCATACAACTTAACTGAGTCAAAGCAAAAAGATAACTAAAAAATTTAAGTTGAATGAACACTTTTTTTTTTTTACAGTGCATAGCATCAACTCACTAATGGTCCAGTGTTTATTTGACAATTATTCATTTATCCAAAACAACTTACAAACTGAGAATAATAACAGCAAAAGTGGTTAATCCAAGGAAGAAATAGTAATGTTTAACTTAAACCTCGAAGGAAGACTGTGTTTGCAAATATGAAGTTTCTACAACCGATTAAAATTGGAGTTTAAATTAAAATAAATTCCACATAACCAATAGAGGGAGGGGCGGCGGCAATATGACCAAATTCATACAACACGAAATTAGTAATTTTGTATTACGATCGATAATGATAACTAGTTGTTTTTGCTCTGAAGATGGTTTCATATCAAAACTTTTGATGCCACTGAAATTTATTATTTGACACTAATTGCAGTTTCACAAAAAACTAGTAAAAAAGTAAATAAATAAAGCCGCACGCTTACATAAGACAAGTAAAGAGTCAGTGATAAAATACGTTACAACTAAGTAAGTTAAAACATAAGTTACAAGCAACAGGACAACAAACTATAATAACGAAGACACAAATGAAACAGACCTGCAAAACTTAGAGCGCTAGAAAAAAGAAACACTACATGTATAAAAAATGTATAAAAAACCCTGCATAGTCTTCACTGTGTAAATTAAATTTACATTTATTCTTTTTAAAGTTACAAAAGTGATTCAGTCAAGAGCAATTTCCTCACTTGTTGACTGTAGACTGTCATTCATACATTTTTTAAGTACAATCAACTTGTTTTAAGTCCACTTCAACTTAAATTACGTTGACTTGAAATCTGTCGTTGACGTGAGAACTGACTTAAAAAAAATGGTATAGCTTAACATGTTTTGAGTTTGAGCAATGTAAAAACATCCGTTGTCAACTTCTATATCAGATTTTTTTCACAGCAGCGCCGTCTTTCATTTCTAATGGGAATGAAAGCGAGGCTGTGAGGGAAAGACATATACATCTCTTCAGTGGGTTATACTGTAATTGAATGCGTTTCTGGATTGTTCTGCTGACGAAACACTGCAAAAATATCTTTCCAAGCATTTCAGTAGAGACAGATATCTCCAGACGAAGAGCTGTGGAAAATTATAAGTGATCTAGGAGCTTTATACAACTGTTTTAAAGCGGATGGCGTTGAAAACACGATAAGTCTATCCCTCACAGCCTCGCCTTCATACCGGTCATGACTCATGACGCAGGTCAGTGGAACGAAAAAAAAAAAAAAAAAAAAAAACACGATCTAGAGACGCGTTTTTTAAACTTCCTTTAACTTGAAAGCAGCATTTTTCAACAGAATGCCATGCAAAACGCTGCAAAAGATGTGAGAGCAGTGGTTAAATACATCATGTTTACATAGAAAAACAATGGAAAAGTAGCGCAGTGGAATGGAAAAAGAGCGCACACATACGAAAGGAGTTGTCTTTCGCTGCTTATTGCGCTTCAATGGTTTAAAATCACAACGCAATGCTTAAAAACACATTCAAATGATACGCTTTTATGACGGCGCGAGCGTAACCGCGATAAAATCTCTACAGTTAATCATGTCTGCTGGTATTTCGCCCACCCCTGCATATCCAGATGAATGTCAACAAAAAGCAATCAGGAGACAATAAAATAATGCAGGAAAAACATCTCAGACACAAAAATATCCCCAAGCCCCCCCTCCACCTGGACACACCCACGTTTGATTGACTGACTAAGAGTTCGTCCAATCAGAGAGAGGTTGTTTGCGCAGCACTGAACAGCTGGAGCAACAGCACCAGGAAGACGTGCTCAGAAATTAATCGAGCTTTTGATCTATCAGTCATAATGAGAACAACACTCGTCTCAAAAAAACACACACATGCACACACAGAGAAGTGCACATACTCAAAAATACACCAAATACACTACCTGCGCTCCCAAAAACACACACACTGAGAACCTGTTCAAAGGAAAGCAAAGAAATAAACAAAGGAGGGAAGGCAACCCCTCCTCTCCTCCGGGAATTTTACTATTCTGCACTTCTCGGCTTCTCTCATCCCTCTCTTCCCACAATCCTTTGTGCTCGGAATAAAGCTGCTGATTATGAAGCCCAGAGCACTGAGACTCTGCTCACCTGTCAATCAAATGGTAACCTACACACACACAAGCGCACACTCAATGTCAGATACCCTGTCTCGTATAGACATTAACACCGCTTCTGATGAGCACATCGACACACAAAATCAGACGGCTGAAAATGACAACTTCCGTCTTCAGAGTGTGTCCGTTTTCCTGTTCGCATTACTGTTGTCATCACATGAAATGCACCGATGGTCTTGGTTTAGTTTTGCAGCTACCTGTTGGGTTTTACTCATCACCATGTTCACGCTCACATAATCATCTAACTGTATAATTCCACACTGTAACAAATGTGATTGTGTATTGTAATATTTTGTGTGATCAACTGTATCGTAACGCATGTACAATAACAATGTGTAATTGCATACTTTTCACACCCTGATTCGTATAATAAATACCATACTATGTAAATGCACTGTAATGTGAACTTATTTAAAAGGAATATTTAAGTTTAAAATATGCACTTGTCCTTCCTTTTCTTAACAAATAAGTGGAAGTAAACGTGGCCAATTTAAAATGTGACCTAATTTGATAAATGCACTTTTGTTTTCTGTTAAAATGTGTGTATTATTTGAGTTGTAAAGCTGTTTGAACCATCGTTTTCCGTCAAGTTGTAAAATTTTGAACTTCACCCAAAAAAAGGTTTAGAAATTGATTGTTTCATACTAAAAACATAAATCAGAAGAATCGTATTGTCTACATCTGGTGGGTTCACTATTGAAACAGTGATTATTTCAACATTTACAGATAGTTTTCAGTGTAAGTGCCTCACTTTAACCCCAGATTTTCTTTTCATTATTTATTCATTTGTTAAGAAAAGGAGGGACACGGGGTGATTAATGTTATTGCTTGTGGTAATCAACATAATGCCACAAATGCTGTTGATTAAACTTAACTTGGGAATATAGTATTGTACACTATCAAAAGTTGGAGGTTAGTAATCATTTGTTTTTATCATTTCATTTAGCAAGGATGCATTAAATTGATCAAAATTGAAAAAAAAAAACATCTATAATGTTACAAAATATTTATTTTTCAATTAAATGCATTTCTTTGAACTTTAATTTATATATTTTTTTACAAATAACAATTTTCAACATTGATAATAAGTATAAAAAATAAATGCTTTTTTGAGCATCAAAACCTCATATTAAGAGTCATTTCTGAAGGATCATGTGACACTGAAGACTGGAGTAATGATGCTGAAAATTCAGGGAATAAATTACATTTAACATAAATTTGATTAAAAAACATCTATTTTAAATGTTAATAAGCATTTTTGATCAAATAAATGCAGCCTTGGAAAGAATTTTGAACAATAGTGCATGTATATATCGTAATCTACTCCTGTCTGACAGCTTAAAGCAATAGAAATGAGTGAAACATGAATCCAGTGTTTCCTTGAGCTGTTTAACAGGTGTCATCTAGCCACTGATAAACGTTACTATACAACCATCTTCAGGAAACGAACACAAGACTTTCTGTCTTTCATTAAAGAGCACAGTAATTACCTGAGTGGCAGGTCGGTGTGCAGTTCACCCAGCGCTGTGTGCTTTACACACACACACCAACAGGAGAGACTTTACAAGGTGTACGGTTAACTCATGCGGCCTGCTATGAGGTTTCCATAGTAACGGCTCTGTCCTGCGGCCTAGGTAATCCACAGGAGCTGAGTGTGAGAGTGTGTGCTGCGGTGCAGATGGGTAAATGTCGAGAGGAGAGGGACCCTGACCTGCCAAGAGAGCTGAATTAGTATTCACACAGTAGGTGAACCCCACTGTGCTCCCCACCGCTCACTCTCTCTCTCTCTCACACATATATCTGGCATACACTTTCATACATCTGATGATGTGGAAACACTAATAGTGCTGGAAAAGGACAGATCAATACTGCTCTTCTGCAACATTCAGTTTCCAGCAAATGTGGGATCTCATCATTTCTGCACCAAAGAAATAAACACTGATGATAAACACATTTGAAACACACCCACCTCGCATTGGTCTCAATTAACTCCTTCCCCGCCATCGACGGACTTTTCCGGCTTGCCGTGTTTTCATTGTTGTGTGGTAGGGGGCGCTATTACACACCTCCCGAAAGAGTGCTGAATCTCCTGATCAAAACACAGGGGAAGCAGAAGCAGAAACAAGCGATCTCATGTGTTAGCAGATGCATATGTAAAATAACGCGACAGCACATATAAATCAAAACTGCCAATTGTTACCGAATGAAAAGTGGAAAGGGAATAAGCTACAGGACTGTGAGGGTGTTGATTAGGGTTGGGTATCATTTGAATTTGAACGATTCTAATTCCGATTCCGATTCCTTGTTCCGATTCCGGTTCCTAAAGATTCTCGATTCCGATTCTTTTAAGAGGCAGGGTCAAAAAAGTTTAGCTAACCTTGCTAACCAACGGTCTTTCTGAAGGAAATACTCCTTTTGTCACAAATTTTGCATTTTGCCGAGATTTCGTTATTTTTAGAAAAGTGAAGCCACACGTTGGACCGCCGACGTAAGGTACTCATGTTCGACTCGGGCGGTTATGCCAACACTTCCGGTAGACGCTTCTTCGTTGGTGTTGCTCGGCGGACTGTGAATATCGAAACTAGGAATCGAAATTTTAACTTTTGAACGATTCCGGGAAAAACTAAAAGTTAGTCCCGGTTCCAATCGATACTCCATTCTCGATAACCAACCCTAGTGTTGATGGACTCGACCTTCTCCATCTGTGTTTTGATCATCGTTCTGAATCCAATCCAGATTAAGTCTTTAACATAAAGGCTATTTTCTCAGTTTTTTGTTAAATGAAACCCATGAATGCATGTAGCGAAACTAAAACATTAAAGGGTAACTAAACCCCTGGTCAGAGCCTGACTCCACCCACTGGCAATATTTGAAAATGCTGAAAAAGTGGGCAGACCCCAGCGGATATAGAGGGGACGAAATATATGCTAAAACACTCTATCCTGATCATTTTCAATACTCACAATCCCAATTCCTGACACCCTACAGTGGTTTTGACGACACAAAGATGGTTTTTTATACTGCCAAGGGCGTAGCTCGCGTGGTGAGCTGAAACCTGTGTACGTCACGAAGTGCGGAAAATTCAACTGCAGTAGCCACCGTTCAACCTGAAGAGGGCAGCACTAAGACGTTTTTACACCATATATTGTAGAAATAGAACACTTTATAAACAAATGTCAAAAAAGTTACTCGAATCAATGACTGGTATTAATAAAGATCCATTCTTACAGATCACTAACTAAAAAAAGTTGGTTAAGTGTTTAGTTACTCTTTAAACATTTTTTTTTTGTTCAAAAGCAGAAGGCCTGTTTTTTTTCTATTGATATATTGCTTGTTCAGATATTCATTCAACTAAATATTCTGATGGCCATGAAACTTGATTAAATGCGAGTTAACAATGCTGGTGGTGGCTGGCAAATGCTGGCAGGGAAAAAGTTCAATAATAGAGCAATCATCTCTTCTCTGGATTGTATGTAGTTCCAGCTCTTACAGGTGTTTGTTAAAGGGCACATTGCAGTTTAGAGGACCCAACAGGGTCAATGTATAGAAAAATAATGTAGGATTTGATAAATACGCTACAGAAGCTTCTGGAGTCTAAAAATGGGCATGGTGGGCGCGACATAACGGGCGGGAGAGAGGTCGATTCAGACAACAGGAAAACAATGGATCGCAACGACATTTCGGACGCTGAGGAAATACTTTCTCGTATGACGCAACAGGTTGAATCAGAGCTAACAGCACTAGTTTTAGACATTTAGGGAGCAGATTTCTGAACTAACTAGAAGCTAATCAGCAAAGCTGCCTTTTTAAAAACCTGAAAGCGATCTCATTACGATTCAAAACGAGACTGACTTCATCCCTGATGAGCTAATGCTAAGCCCATGCTAAACGCTAGCCCTTTACTGCCCTGCCCCGCCACACCCTGATGCCCTTCTGCCCGCCTGCGCTTTGACGGACAGCTGTGGAGTTCTGGACCAACTCCAGCCAGCGGGATTACGCATGCAAGTAATCTCCCATGATGCCCTGCGGCCAAGCTAGGGCGTGCTGCGCCTCTGCTCCTTATTAATATGCATGAGAATGCTAATGAGCAGGAAGCACACAGGTGAGCTCGCTCAAAGAAGCCAGTCACAACACAGGAGCCGATATTCTAATTTCGCGGCGCAGACTTTCCCACTCGCCAGCGAGACAATATCACATTCTCTCACACACAGCATGATAACTCGCAGCTTCTCCATGTGAGGAAGGTAACCTAAAGAGCCGACTGTCTGACGAGACGCTCGTGTGGCTTTTGCAGAAACACTCGGCAAACTCATTCCTGAAATGCAGTGTCACGGGTGCCAGTGAGACGTTTCAAATCAAAAACGGGTTTTATATAAAGGTTACAGGCAAAAGCCATGAGCAAATTCCCTGAAGCCTCTATCAGTCAATCTGGTTTTAAACTCTCTCTCACACACACACACACACGCATGTGAAAATATTACTGCAAAGATGGCTGTAAAAATAAATCTGAATGGTTTAACCTGTTGATCTTTATTACATTTTTTTTTTGCAAAAATCTAACCCTTCATTTAAGTAAAATAATTAAACTCAAATTATGAAATAAAAGTTTTTCTACAAAACACATTTGCCACAATTATTAGCACCCCTAGAATTGTTTTTATGATCTCTTAAGTATATTCCCATTAATATCTATTTTTTTAGCGAGGAACATGAATTTGTCCAGCCATAACTTGTTGTTTCACAGAAGTATAAATATGAGGAAAGACAAAGGCCAAATTGCCTGTTGAACTACGCAAAATAGAAAGTGGCTGTAAGTAAAGTAAACTAGCAAAAGCATTGAAAATTCCCATTTCTACCAATCAACTAAAGATGTTACGAATCTGTCTGGAAAAGGACATGCGATTATATATTCATTCTAAGGCACGATGAGGAGGAGAGTTTGAGTGGCCGAAGACTCTTCAAGGATCACAGCTGGAGAATCACAGAGATTAGTTGAGTCTTGGGGTCAGAAAGCCTTAAACAATTATTATAATAATAAAAAAACCTACATCACCACATGTTGTTTGGTCATGATCATCCAAAAACAAACTCCAGCATATTCAGTTGTCAGACACGACTGATCTTCAAAAAGGACCGGATTCTATGGTTAGATGAAACTAAAAGAGCTTTTTGGCAGAAAACCCACCAGATGTGTTTGGTGCAAACTGGGACAAATACATGGTTGTTGGTGCCAGACGGGCCGGTCTGAGTATTTCACAATCTGCTCATTTACTGGGATTTTCACGCACAACCATTTCTAGGGTTTACAAAGAGTAGTGTGAAAAGGTCAGAGGAGAATGGGCGGACTGATTCAAGCTGATAGAAGAGCAACTTTGACTGAAATAACCACTCGTTACAACCGAGGTATGCAGCAAAGCATTTGTAAAGCCACAACACACACAACCTTGTGGCGGATGGGCTACAACAGCAGAAGACCCCACCGGGTACCACTCATCTCCACTGCAAATAGGACAAAGAGGCGACAATTTGCAAGAGCTCACCAAAATTGGACAGTTGAAGACTGGAAATATGTTGCCTGGTCTAATGAGTCTCGATTTCTGTTGAGACATTCAGATGGTAGAGTTTTCACAGCGATGCCATAGAAGAACCATTTCGGTTCCCCAAAGAGCCTTTCAGTGATCAGTTCTTAAAAGAACAAGGTTTTTTCTTAGTGTGAAGAACATTTTAAAAATTTGAAGAACTTTATCCAAGTATGTTAAAAGTTCTTCATGAAACTCCAAATGCCAATAAAAAACCTTTATTTTTAAGAGTGGTTTTTGATGCAAAAAAGGTTCTTTATACTGGATTACTTAACATTATAAAATGCTTTTCACAGTAATGGTTCTTGAACTGTTTACTATTCTTCTATGTTTTCACCGCAAAACCCCCATCTTTATTTTTAAGAGTGTAAAAAGTAAGTAAACATAGACTGATCTTTCTAAAAATTCCAACTTTGGGTGAAATATGGACAAACCCAAAGGTTGGGTTAAAAATGTGATTTAAAGGACAAGTTCGGTATTTTACAATTAAAGCCCTGTTTTAAGATCATTTCTAATGAAATAGAGTGGTTAAGATGGTGTTTTTTAGACAGATGCTGTAGTCCCGAGAATTTTCAGATTCTGTGGTAGCACCCCCACACCTCTTCAATGGTAACATAGGTGCACAGGAACAATCCTTCATAAAACGCATAATACCGTGTCCTAACTACACGCGACGCGATAAAATTTCAGCGACAGAAATAACATTATTAAAAATCAAAACATTAACAAAATATCCTCACTGACTAATTTTGTTATGAAGTACAGTTGTATGTTTGCATAGAATTCATTTTAAACGCTATATTGTACTGTATGCTTTCAAAATCTGAGGTAAATTATCCGTTATCGCTTGTGGCGCAGTGACCTATTTTTTACTAAAAATAAATAATGTTTACTCATAACCAGTGCAATATCTCTGTGTGGGCGGATCTGTCAGAAAAAAATCCTTCGTAGAAATAGGAACCTTTTCTAAATTAGAAACTTCGCGTGTCCCGTCGCGTCTGGTTAGGACAAACACTCTGATTAACATGGAAAAGATACCTTTTATCGTGTCTCGCGGCGTCGTGACGCGTGTAGTTAGGACACGGTGTAAAACTTTAATTTACTAAGACGTGAAACTCAAAACTGTAGACCTATTTTTCCGAACGCCTCACAACCGTACAGTCTTCCGTTGAGAGCTTGAATAATAGACACTCCAGCCCAGTAGGTGGCGATAATGCACCTTTGCCAATTGGAAGCAAACCACTTTTTTTTTTTTTTAACAACCCCATTTCCGTTTCCGGCGGCGGAGCAATACCGTACATCACAGAACGTACAATACACGTCAATAGAGTTGTACAAAAACTTCGATAAAACAGGTTGGAAAGCATCTTTTGCAGCGATTTTTGTGTGAGCGTATCAGTGAACACCCCAGACCTCTCGGTGAGTTTCACGTCTTTGTAAAACGTGTTTTATGCGTTTTATGAAGGATTGTTCATGTGCACCTATGCTACCATTGTGAAGATGTGGGGGT